CTCCTGTTTCCCTCCCCCTGCCCCTTTCTCCTCTCCCCCTCTCTCCAAACCCAGGACCTTGCACTTTTCTAGTCATGAATTTCTAAGGCACTCTTTGTCACGGAAATACCTTATTTTTCTATCAGTTTTGAAAGGTAGTTTGGCAGAATATATCAGTTTGGGTTGGAAGCTGTTTTCTCTTAGGGCTTAAAATACTTCACTGCAAGCTTTTCTTGCATTTAAGGTTTGTGATGAGAAACTTGCTGAAACTTTGCTTTTCTCTGCCAGCTTTTAAGATTTGACCTTCGTGTTGGACTTCGCAGATTCCAGCTTGACATGCTGTTTCTTTCCCATTCGCGGTGATCTGGCCTCCTGCAGGCTTCCCACGTGCCACCTGAATCCTCTCCCTGTGCTGAGGCAGCTTTCTGCTGCTGTTGCAGTAGGCGGCTTGCACGCCCCTTGCGCTGCCTTCTGCACTTCGCTGGTCCTCGTTAGCCTTCGCGGCCCTGGGTCTGCTGGTCCTGGTCGCTTGTCCTTCTGAAGCCGGGAGGCGTGCAGGCGGAGTCTCCGAGAGGCGCGGTGACTGCTACCCTGTAGTTGTTCCTCCAGAGTGGAGGCCCGGCAGAGGGGTGCAGCGCAGGTGCCCGGGGGCACAGTGAGCTGGGTCAGCCCCAGGCTGGCAACCCACACCCTCCGGGGCTGTGCGCTTTCCCACTGCCAGAATCAAGATGTCCTGCCGCTTGTCCTTGTTGTCCTGTGGCTGAGGCTGCCACCCTCCTGGTTCTCACGCTGTCTTCTTCTGCCCTTTCCCAGGCACCCTGGCTCTGGAGAAGGCTGCGTGGCAAGAGGTGGACAGTGGTGGCTTTCTTCCTGTCAGTGACCCTGTCGGCGATGACTGTCACCCGCCTTCCCTCAGAGCGTCCAGCCACCCATCCGAACCTCGGGCCCATGGAGCCTTGGGGCGACAAGGGTGCCTCCAGGCCTCGTGTCCGGCAGGTCCTGAGCTCAAGCCAGGGGCAGCGGACAAGGACGCAGGAACTCTGGCAGGGCCGGGCTTGGCCCAGAGAGCTCACTGTTGGTGCTGAGAAGCGTGGCCCCCAGGGGCGAATGGACAGGAGCCACCCACCCCCCAGAAGGGACAGCACACGCCCAAGAAGAGTCAGGAGGGACGTGGCTTTGGCAGGAGACCCAGGACCCCGCACTGAGCATCTCGTGCTTCTGAGAGAGGAGGTCGCAGACCCAGGAGCTGAAGCCCAGGCCCAGCCTGGGCATGAGGGTCCTATGGAGCAAATACAGAACGGGACAGGCACCTCGGGTAGCCCACATGCAGGGGCCAACAGGGCAGCTGACGCCCGGCTGACACCTTGGCCCCATCTGGCAGAGGGCCTGGGCCTGGGGGCCCACCGCTGGCCTGGCTCCATTGAGGATCTGCAGGGGTCCGAGTGGTGTGGCCCTGACCCGCCGGCTGTCCCAGGACAGACCCCCCCATGGCTCACAGAGCACGACGTGCAGGTGCTGCGGCTGCTGACCCGTGGCCGAGTGGTGGGCAAAGCCAGGGTCCCCGGGCACGGGCAGGTGCTGCAGGTCGAGCTGTCTGCTGAGGACACCAGCCAGGACACAGCCCTTCCCAAGCCCGCTCCACGCTGCTCCCGTGGCCTCTGTGGCTTGATCAAGCGGCCAGAGGACTTGCTTGAGGTGCTGTCCTTCCACCTGGACCGTGTGCTGGGGCTGCGCCGAAGTCTGCCCGCTGTGGCCCGCCGCTTCCGCAGCCCCCTGCTGCCCTACCGCTTCACAGACGGTGGCGCCAGGCCTGTGATCTGGTGGGCGCCTGACGTGAGGCACCTGGCCGACCCCGAGGAGGACCAGAACTCTCTGGCTTTGGGCTGGCTGCAGTACCAGGCCCTGCTGGCACACGGCTGCAGCGGTGGGCCAGAGCAGGCCCCGTGCCCAGGCATCCACCACGCAGAGTGGGCACGCCTGGCGCTGTTCGACTTCCTGCTGCAAGTAAGTGGGCGGGGTAGGGAGGCCTGCACTGTCTGCCCCTGGGCGGTGCGGGACCCTCCCACTGCCTGGCCTCTGGACCACCGAGCAGCTGTTACTTTTGAGCACTGTTTACTTACGCAGTGGGCCTGGAGCCAGCTCACACCGACTCACACACTCACACGAGCTAATGGCTCAGATGTTCAGGACGCTGCAGGTCAGCTGTGAGCCCAAGCGTTATGCACGCTCTGAGTAAACAGCTCCACAGGCAGAGGTGGCAAGCACCTTCTGACGGCTGTGCCACGTGCTCGCTGCCCTTGTGCCATCACCGTCCCTAGCGTCTGTGTTGCGGCTGGCGTACGGCCTGCACTCTCTCATGTTGGTCGTGGAAGCCACCAAGCGAGCAAAGGTTTGCACCAGGGAAATCAGCAAATCTAGCTGGGCCTGTCTGTGGGGGACCATTGCCCAGCCCACCACTCGGTGCCACTCATCTCTGTACCGTGGGACCGGAGGTGGGTGTGGAATTTGACAGAAGAGAAGCAGAGATGGAGCGTTCACTGTGGCCACTGTGGTCAGAGGGAGAGGAGAAGCAGAGCTGGAAGGGTTACCGCAGCCACTGCAGTCACCGTGGCCACCGCGGCCACTGCAGTCACCATGGTCACCGTGGCCACTGCAGTCACCATGGTCACCGCATCCACTGCAGTCACCATGGTCACCGCATCCACTGTAGTCCCCGTGACCACCACAGCCACTGCAGTCACCATGGTCACCGCATCCACTGCAGTCACCGTGGCCAC